CGAGGCGGTGGGCACGTGGCGCCCCCTGCAGGCCGCCTCCGCCTCTGCTCGCTGGCACAGGTCTCGGTGGCGGGTCCCTTCGGCCTCTGGCGCCCCCGTGTGGGTGGGAGGAATACTGCCGGCCAGAGAAAGCCAGACCCAGAGGGGAAGGAAGCTGTGGGTGGGCGTGGGGGTGAGTCCCCTCAGGTAGGGTGGGAAGCTCTGACCTCAGGACACAGGTTAGGACAGAGCATGTGGAGATGGAGACAAGGCCCCTGGAGGAATGACCCTCAGCCTTCCAGGGCCTCCCTCTGTGTCCTGAGACCCAGGCTGTACTGGCCCTGCCCTGGGGCTGAATTGGGATGGGAAGGGGAGGAAGAGACCGTTCTGGTGGAAAGGGACTCAGCCATCAAAATGCTGGCCTCACCTTCAAAGGTGAGGAGGTCTAGGCGAAGAATTTCTTGGTACCTGTTAAGATGTCCTGGAGGCAGAGGGTTTACGCCTTGGGCTGCTCAGCACGGGGTTGGCAGTTCAAAATCACCAGCCGTTCTCTGGCAGAAAAGTGAGGCTTTCTACTCCTGAAAAGACTCACAGCCTCAGAAACCCACAGGGGCAGTTCTGCCCTGTGCTGTAGGGTCGCTACTCGATGGCAGCGGGTTTGGGTGGAGCCTTGGTCAGCCAGACAACAGGAGATAGAAGAATCCACTGTGTGGGTGACATGGACTTAGAACCCGCAAATGGTGACCCTGGAGGAAAGAGTAGAAATGCCCCTTGTGGATTTCCTGTGCTTTGAATCGTTCCTGGAGCAGAAAGCCTCGCCTTTCTCCCGTGGGGCAGCTGGTGGGTTTGAACCGCTGACCTTGTGATGAGCAGCTCAACACAGAATCATAACGCCAGCAGAGCACCTTGTCACCAAACTAAGGTGACGCCAAACTCACAGCCACCGAGCCCATTCGGACTCATAGCGACCCTCTAGGACAGGGTCGAGCCGTCCCTGTGCGTCTCTGAGATTGTACATCTTCCCTGGAGGAGAAAGCCTCATTTTCCTCCCGTGGTGTATTAGTCTGGGCACTTTGGAGAAACAAATCCACAGCGACTCATGGATAAGAGAGAGTTTTATGTAAAGAAAGTGTGCATCACGAAAACATCTCAACCCAATGCTGCCCAAGCCCACACGTCCAACATTAACCCATGAACCCAACACCAGTCCA